GCTGCGGCTGCGCTCGCCGTCGGGGGCGTTCGCGGCGCTGGGGGCGGTCGTAGTGCTGGTGGGCATGGGTATTGCCGTGGCCGGCTACTGGCCGCACCGCGCCGGGGCTCCGGGACCCCGAGCCGCCAATGCCAGCGCGCCCCAGGTGAGCGAGCTACGACGAGACGGCCGCGGCGCTGGCCGTGCTCACGGCCCCCGTGAGCGGCTGAGGCTTCTTGGACCGGTGGTCATGGGCGTCGGCCTGTTCGTGTTCATCTGCGCCAACACGCTGCTCTACGAGAACCGCGATTTAGAGACGCGAAGGCTCCGCCAGGGGGTGCTGCGCGCTCAGGCGCTCCGGCCCCTCGACGGCCCAGGTTGGGACTGCGCTCTCCTTCCCAGCCCAGGTCCCAGGACTCCCCGAACCATAGGCTGCGCAGAGCTAGAAAGTTGGGACCTGTCCCCTCGTCGCGGTACTTCGCCTGTTCCATCAGTTAGGAGTCTGCGTTCAGAGCCTGCTAATCCTCGCCTGGGGTTACCTGCCCTGCTCAACAGCTACCCACTGAAGGGCCCGGGGCTGCCCCCACCCTGGGGTCCACGGACCCAGACTGGCCACTTGATCATCACCGTGCAGCCCTCTGGTTCCTGCATTGAACACTCCAAGTCTCTGGATCTGGGCCTTGGAGAGCTCCTGCTTGGGGCCCCAACAGCTCGGGACTGTGCTCACCGCAGCTGGCCACGGCTGGACCGCCTCAGTCTGGGGGGTTATGCCAAGCTGGGAGGAGGACGGGACTTGGGAGGCCGAGTCTGAGGAGCCGGGGCCAGCCTGCTGTGAGGATGGCAGCGTGTGCCACAGTAACAGGACCGGGGGTCCCAATGTCTAATAGATGCTTCAGTTACATCCCAGGGCGGGAATTGATGCTCTGGCCCCAGCAGCTAAGGTATCCTGACCTTGCACTCGTCAGCAGAGAAATGCCAACTGCACTAGCATTCAACTGAGCTGGAGAGAATGTTTTAACGTGGAGTCTGGAGACTAGCAAGACTTGGCCTCAGGAATTCCTTCAGCCTCCAAATGTGGCCTTAGCCCTGGAGAGGTAACTGATGGGGCTGAAGGTCCAGGCCAAGGTGATTGGGAGATGTACTTGGTGTCTTGGTAAACCCAAAGTGGTGGGCAAGAACCCCTAAGACTTGGAGTGTAGATTGGGATGTTACAGGCTGGGGACAGGCTCCCTCCAAGGTGGCACTGGCACTGGTGATGGGGTTTGGGCCTCTGGGAAAGTGGGTAATGGGGTGGTGCTGAGACCGTCCACTGCCATCTGGGGTTGGGACTGGGCCTTTAACTCCCACCACCTCCACCCCTTTTTTCCCTCAGCCATGCAGGGTACATCTCACTAGGGCTACACTACTGCTGATGCCTTCACACTGAGGGCCTGGCCCCTCCCCAGACAGGTCTGAGAAGATACCTTCTCTTACTTTATCATGGTCTGTGCTGCAAAATCTCCCTCAAGTTGGCAGGAAGTGTCTGTCAATTCTCAGAAATCCTTTTACACAACATTAAAGCTGCATTTTGGCCAGTGTGGGTAGGGTAGCTTAGTTGAGAAGATGCCTTGAGTTTGCGTCTCCCCCCACTCATGTTTAATTTTTCCCACATTGCCGCTGGTAGGAAAAGAGGATTTTAAAAGGGGATCAAGCCTCACAGTCAGTCCTTTTTTTTTTTTTGAAAGTTTATTGAAAAATGCAATACGAGAAGCAAGACCAAACACGTATCTAAACACTACCATCACTTCTCTTACTACAAAAGGCCAAAATAGAAGACCTAATTATTGCCTATTTAATCTAAAGATTTTTGCTAGTTTGATTCTGCTGCCATAGTTCCAATTTTGTCAAGAAAGGTAAACAGCTACTTGATATGATTCATAATTTTAAAAAATTTTACAAAGCTCCTTCATTTCTGTCACCAAAATAATACATTTGAGAGAGATTTGTAAAAACAAAACCAGCCTGGGGCTGGGATCCTGGGCAGAGACTTCCCATGAGCATCCCTTGGTGTTGGTGAGGCCATCGCTGTGCCTCCGTTGCCCAGGGTGTGTTAGCTGCCCTGCAGAACGTATGGTGGTGGGCCTGCGGTAGCCAGGGCTCACTGGATCCTTGGCTTATGAACACAGGTCCTGCTGTGCTGATGGGTGGGTGGGTGGCAGAGACCTCATGTGGCCTGGAGGATATCTTTACTTCTCAAGTGAAAATAAAATTGCAGCAAGAGTTGTTACTGTGGTGTGTCTGAGTCACTTTAGGAAAATTGTTGCCAAGTCATTGACTCTGGAGATGTAACTTTCCTCCCCCTCTTCACCATTTCCACCAGGACAGAGTCTGTTTTTACACACATACACACACATACAACAACTGCAAGAAGAAAAAAATCCAAACAATTGCCAAACCCCAACATTTGTTGCCAGAGAGGGAGAAAAGAGGAAGTCCAGGCTTGGAAGGACACCCCTCTTGCTGGGCTTGTCCAAATCATGGCTTCTCAGAGCTGGAAGAGCATTAGAGATCTTCTGGTCCAAATTTACAGACAAGGAAGCAGACTCAGAAGTGTAGTGAGCTAGTGACAGGGCTGAAGGAAGGTTTAGGCTCCCTGACTCATGGTCCTGTGCTATGAAAACTACAACAATAATCTGGATAGCACAGAATATTCAGTATGCTAAGTTTTAAATGGACACACGTGTGCCCTCCTTTCCCCCATCCTCTTCACTCCCCAGGTTTCAGCTTTGTGGGTGCCAGTAGCTCTTTCAGCAGGAGAGCTGGCCATTGGCACACAGCTCTTGGGAAGCACACTCACATCACATGCTTGTTTGATGTGAGCTGTATTTCTAACCTAACCACTACTTCTGACAAGACAGCCCAGGCCTAGGCACCACCCAGAGAGCCCATCATTTCAGATCCTCTGCCCACAGCCTGTTAAGCCTGCAAGTCTTCCTGAGACAGGACAACCTCCTTTCCCCCAAGCCCACACATCCCACTGGTGCCCTCACCTTTTCTCCTCAGAACTACCTCCTGGTTAATAACAGTCTCACATGAGTACTAAAAGAAAAATGCACACACCTGAAATCAGTTCAAACCAGCCAGGATGTCCCAGCAAAACTCCGTAAGTAGAGACTTTGGACATCCTGCTGGCTCCCACTGTGGGGAGCAAAGGCTTTATGTCTCTTTCTCTTGCTCACTGCCCTTGAGCCCCAGCAAGTGCTGTCTGTGATCCACTGTCTATCTCATAAAGTTCACTGCTAGCTTAGAATTAGGATTCCAAGAAGCCTCCAGGAAGATTTGTTTGTGGGAAGCAAGCTGGAAGATTAGAAAAGCCCAACTGAATAAAATACCCTCAAATCTTTACTAGAAGGTACACAGGAACGGTGGAATTGAGGACATCAATGCTCACATTTCCAAAAACAAAAAAGCTAAACCCAAAATCAAGCTTATAAAACCTGACCTCAGATGGTGAGGGGAAATGAATGCCCATGGTCATTTCGTGGGAAGGATGGCCCCTAAAAGCCACTCCCTTGCTCCAGAAGGTTGTCTTCAGGAAGGTGTCTGTGGGGAGACTACAGATCAAGGAACACAACCCCTCTTTTCATCCCAGGATTAAAGAAAGAGGTCCAGGGATGGTCACCTGGAAATACTTCTTACCAGGATCTGACTGAGGTAAACTCCACTATTCCGCTGGGTCAAGTGCACACTCCCAGAACTGGAAAACCTTATTTTAAAAACCTCATTAACTTTCCTTCCTCAAATCACCACTACAAATGTGCCATTCGGGCTTCTGGCTGAAAGTGCCTATTTTTCTGTGAGTTTTGGTCTCCTGAGATGGCAGCTGGGGGAGCATTTAGCAGAGCCACTGCTTATAATGAGGTAAAAGGGCAGCTGGGGAAGGAGGGCAGGAAGGTGAAGGCCACTGATATGTTCAAACATTCACAGTATCAGATATATCTGATGCACCTTCTTATATCTTTGATCTAAAGAAGCTCCAAAAACAAAGAATGGAAGAGAAGGAAAGAAACATAACACTACATTCTTAGCAGAGGTCTCTGCCTCTCTAAACCAGGGCAGCCACCTGCCTGACATTCTGGTAAAGTCACATCACTGGATCTGAGAAAGATCTGGTTTATGAACATTTTGCTGTCATCCAAAGGGTACAGAAGTAGGGGAGGAGCAGGAAAGCCCCCTTAAGCTGGCTTTGGCCTCCAACACAGCTGACAGAGTCTTTGGAGGATTTTCTGAAGAATTCTGTGGACTCTGTCAGTATCTGGGTTGGAAATAAATGGAGAGAGGCTAGGTTGAAGGGGTTGCAAACCACCCTGTTAAAAACAAAATCAAAACAAAAACTACTTAAAACCAGTCCATAGAGTGAAGAGTTGAACAATTTCTGGTATCACAATATAGAAAAAGGTATCCAAAAGGATCAGTGATATCTAGAAGACTCTCTTGGTATAAACTCCAAATAGAAAAGGAAATTCATTTTCTGGTGGTGTAGAATAATCTTGAAAGTCTGAAGTCTGATTACTCCGGGTTAGCTTCTTTATCATTTTGCTGGTTTTCTCTTAGGTGGAAGAAGGGCAGGGAGTTGGGGGTAGTATAGTTCCTAGAGGAAAGAAAGAGCAAATATTTAAAATCCAGCAAAGGAGAAAGCCACCAGTTCCACTACTCTCTGACATAATCCCTATGCCAAGTTCTTGAGGCCACAAGTGACAATCAGGGCCTGAGAGGTTTTACAGGGCCCAGACCTCCCTGGTATTTGATGGCTTCTTCATGTCATTTGTAAACTACTTTTAGGCACAAATTTATCTGGATCCCTGGCTCCCAGAAAGCAGCTACTCTGCTTCCAACTCTCTAGAGCCTAGCCCCAGAGCTTCAGCCATTTCCCCCTATTCCCCTCCCCATTTCAGAAAGCCTGGTCCTGTTCTGGGTTTTGTTCTCCTTCTCTGGTCCTCACAGGTTTGGGCTTAGCACTACCTGTAACAGGTGGGTGAGAGCAGCAGAGAGAAAGAGGGAGAAGATGAAGTGGAGAAGCAGGAGGACTCATGAGGATTTAGGAGGTGGGGAGGAGTTTACCTCCAAGTCTGGGGTGCCTCCTCCTATCCTGCACTGCTGGCACTGCTAAGGGCAGGAGGACACAGAGACCTGGCTGCTTAAGTTGGAGCCAAACACTCAATAACTTCTCTATCTCCCACATCACTTAGCCTCTCCTCTGCCTTCATGTTATGAAGTCCCAGTGTAGACACCTCTTTGTGGGGATGGGCTCCCAGAGTGTCCAGAGTTCCTTTCCAGAGGTCTCTGGGGATGAGGCAGTGGGCGTCTTCAACACAGGAGAAATGCCCCTACCTGAGCTCACTCCTCAGCGATCTCGGTCTCCTGATGGACGACCACCTTGGTCACTGACATATCTGGGTGCTGCTCCTTTGCTTCCTTGATGGCCTGTGCAAGGACCTAAGAAAAATAGAAACAAAGCCCCTCAGGCAAAAAGCAGCCTGGCTGGTGAAGGAAGGCAGGGATCATAGGACATCATTTTCTGGCAAATTCAATCCTATTGCCTGCAATACCAGGGCAGCATTTAGGCTAAGCCAAGCTGGCGATTTTCTTACCCACCCTATCCAGACTGATAACACAGAGACAGGGAATGTTAGGGCTGTCTTCAAGGAATCTGAGAGGGACTTCAGGGGTGAAAGCCACACCTGCCTGGGTAGGCCTGGGAGGATTCACTCAAGAAGTGAGTGTGGACAACAAGGCAAAAAACTGTGTTCAACGTAGCGTAACCAAGAAGTTCAGGACAGGAGAGAAAAACAAAGAAGGTACGCTGCAAAAAGGAAGAGCTGTCTTTGGCTAAAGTGGAGAAAGTGAAAGAAAGCAGAAGGGGAAGGAAAAGAGAAAACTAACATTTGATGCCTACTACATGCCAGGCACTGGCCTAAGCGCTTTACTTATCATTATTAATCTTCACGACAACTCAATGAATTAGGGTAGTATCATTATTTCCATTTTATAGATGAGGAAACAAAGCTGAGGTTCAGTGGTTAAATAAAGCGCTTAATGTTACACAGCTGGTAAGTGATGCAACCAGATTACAACTCAAATCTGTAAGAATTGCCTTTTTGCAACAGTGTCTTTTACTTTCCTAGGAGGATCCTATTTTACCATCTAGAGGTTTGGTTATTTTAGAAAAGCTAAAAGGAGCAGAGAGAAAGTCAAAAGGGAATAATGATGCCACCCACTTTCCTTGGGCTTCAAGTTCTGAGTCCGGGAACATCTCAAGGTAGAAGAGTACAACACTGTCTTTGGGGGATGGTGGCATGGGGGTTCTCAGCAGAACCCCCCATATCAGAAAGGACTTCAGCTAGAGCTGACCAGTTGACTCTTAAGAATCGTCTCTAAGAAGGACAGGGGAAAGAAGGAAGCTGCCTCTGGTCTCTTGGTCTCATGAAAGCCATGTGTGGACTTGCCACCTCTATAGGCCCTTGCTCCCCATTCTGTTTGCCCAACCCATCTGCTCATGCTACAAGGCCCTGCCCAAGTCCTCTCCTCGCTTACCCTGACCTATGCCAATCTCTCTATGAAACCTCGCACCACACTGCTTCTCCTGAACAGTCCTTAAAGTGCCTCCTTCCCCAGATAGAGCGCACCGCATCTTATCTCTCCACTTATCCCTCAGTGTTTAGGAGAACTGAGGGACACTGGCGCACCTCTCTGGACTATCAAGTGTGCCTGCCCGTTTGTCACAACCACCATGGAAGAAACCTATGATTGTTTTACAGAAGGTGAAACTACCTTCAGAGAAGTAAAATAACTTGCTCAAGGGCACACAACCATTAAGTTGCAGAGTTAGGATTCAACCGAGGTCTGTCTTACTCCAAACTCAAAACACCTCCCATCCCACTGCTCTTGCTGTCTAGCAAGACTGAGTACATACCAGGGGCTCAAATCACACCAGACTGAACAGATGGGTACAGGCTGGTAATGCCGCAGGATCCACCGTGCTGGGGCAAACAGACTGCAAGGCTTTCCATGTGTTTCTGGGACCCTTGTTTCCCTTGTTTCTGGGACCCTGAGCCCAGTGTTCTCAGTTGTAAGCCTCAACCCTCCTACCAAGGTAACTGTCAGCACTACAGTGCAGCTTTTCTTTTTTTAAGGCACTTAGCATATCAGCATAAAGGCCACAGAATTATTGTCCCAGAAATCCTGTCAATGATTCCAGAAGCATTTGCATGCAGTCTCTTCCACCCCCACTTCTCTGCAGCTTTACTGTTCTAACCTCACCTAGCAGAGAATTGGGAACATTTATCCTGACCTTATTATCTGCTAATTGCTTATAGCACCCAATTAACACCTAATTAACATAAAACACAGACTTGTAGCACTGAGAAGGGCCCTGAAATTATCTAGATCAGCCTACTCTTGAGAGGAAAAAAAATTCAGAGGTAAAGTGATTTGCCCAAGGTCACACAGCAAGTTAGTGACAAATCTACGACAGAAACCAAGTTTCGAGTCTCCTGATTTCCTGTCCATTACACCATGTCCCCCCTAGTTGTCTCCTCACCTGTTACAACCTCTGAGGGTAGAAATCATGCTTTCCTTTTGTTTTCATATCACCCACTGTCTCCAGCACAGGTTTACTACATGATTCCCCTGAATAATGACCACTCTGTTAACTGAGAGTCCACCAGGCACCACCGATACTGTATATCCAGTGTCTCACTTGACCCTCATAACAATTTTGAGAGGAAGATACTATACTCTCCATCTTATAGATGAGGAAACTGAGGCCCAGAGAGGTAAAGAGCTAGAATATCGTAAGAACCAGGATTTGAATTAAAGTCTATTTGAGCCCATGTTCTTTCCATTACATTTCCTTGCTTCTTCAATTTACAAACTGCAGGACCTAAAGGGGCCGTCACTATGAAGGTAAAAATTCAGGACTTCCTTGCATTTTTACTCAATAATTAAGTGAATGAATAAAAAAGGCCCCCACCTGACAGAGACTGGAGAAACCCTGATAGTATGGCCCCTGGACACCCTTTTAGCTCAGTAATGAAGTCACTCCCGAGGTTCACCGTTCAGCCAAAGATTAGACAGCCCCATAAAACAAAACGAGACTAATGGGGCACAACAGTCCAGGGACAAGGACCAGAAGGCAGGAGGGGACAGGAAAGCTGGTAATAGGGAACCCAAGGTCAAGAAGGGACAGTGTTGACATGTCGTGCGGTTAACCATTGTTATAAAACAGTATGTGTACTAACTGTTTAATTAGAAACCATTTGTTTTGTAAACCTTCATCTAAAGTACAATCAAAAAAAAAAAAAAAGGCCCCCATCCCACAGGCCTCTATGTTTTAATTCCCTTTGTTTTCCTTCTTGATTAAGGACCAGTTACTGAAGGGGTTCTTTGGAGATGAAGATGGCAGAGGTATCCTTTGCTAGCAAACTCCTTCTGCATTCAACAATCTTCCTACCCATGTACCCCTCTCATTCCAAGAACCTCCTCAGCATTCCTACCTGATCATGGTCAATATCAGTATCTCCTGTAATCACAATTCTCTTTTCAATTCGAGTCTCTGACATCCCACCTTTTACAGTCTGGAACCAAAGAAAGATGATCATATGAGATCAGCAATATAACAAGAAAGAAAGAAAAACAAACAAACAAAAAACCCAGCAACAGATAATTCTGAAAACTCCACTCCAAATTTTAATCCGCTACTGGGTAATACAGAGGATAGCTTTCTTACCCACCTGTCCAAAATCTTGGCTGGACTTGCTAAAATGAGCATACTTCTACTCCTTTGGATTGCTAAATTCAATCTTTAATAAGCTAAACAGAAGGTCATAGTCCTTTATTTACTTTCTATTTTCTCTTCCTCTCAAATACCGCAGAGATTCAGTGAGTAAACATTTTATTTGATTATTTTCAGAGGGGAAAAAAAATCAGAAGACTATAAACAAAAATGTCATGCATCTGGAAACTGGGCTCTTCATTTTAAAGCATTTTCACATTCTTGATATCAAAAGATCCTCAAATATAATCCCTGGAAGGTGGGTAGGTATCTTTACTTGATAGATGAGGAAAACCAAGGTCTAGACACATTAAATAACTGGCTTCCCATCATCTGTGTATTGATGACAGAGCTTGATCAAGAACCTAGATTATTACCTACAATTTTCCTCTAGTGCTACATTAAACATAAATTGTCTCTTATTTTCTGGGGGTAGTTCCAATTTTAGATATCTTCTCCTTCTTGCCCTATAAAATATATTCTAATAATTCCAATATTTCAGCATCCAAACTACAGTTTCCATGGCCTTGACCTTGAACATGACATAAAAATTCTTTGTCAGACCCTGAGTCCTGATTTTTGGCTTGGAAAATGTAGTTGCATAATGATACCAACAAAATCTGCCTTTAAACTCACTTTTAAACTTAAACTGTATAGGCAGATAGGGGACTCAATGACCAGAGAGACAGACAGATATGCAAAGAAAACACCACATGTGACTTCATGAGATTACTAACAAGACAGGGATACAGGGAGACAGGTTCCGAGCCCTGAGTTTACTGCTGGGGAAAGCAGCAGAGCCTTTCTACAAAGAAAGCTGGGACACTTGGAATAATTTAGGTCAACAGGGATGAAGCTGAAAACCCTTCCTCAAGAACCAGGGTCCTTCCAGTAGAGAGGCAGCAAGCTCAGCAAGCCACTGGATTCCAGAAGGATGTTCTGAGCTGGTCTGTTACCTTGGTAATCTGAGTTGTGGTGGTGCCGCTTGTGGTCTCGGATGTGATGGTCTGAGCTGTCAGCAAGACTCCTGGGTCCAAGTCCCCATTGTTGTCATCAGTCTGAAGAAGGAAGTACATCTTATCACCATGCCTGTCAGGAAGCCTTACAGGCAAATGTTGTAGGCTGCAGCTTTGCTACTGAGCTCCACATTCTAAAGGAAAAATCTGACTCCTTTACAGTGACCTATTCATTAGTAAATAAATACCCTGGGCATAAGGCTCCTTCAAAAAACGGTGGATAAGCTCAGTTTCCTTAGCAATGGGTCAATGACAGAAGTGGATTGGAAAGAGGAGGCAGGAGTGTAGCCACAGTTTTAACAAGAGGGACAATAATTACACATGTGCACAGCATTTTAGAGTTCACAAATAGCTTACAAAATATTGTCTTTTTTGATGTTCATACGAGCCCTATGAAATACATACAAAGGGCAGAGATTATTAGCATCTCAGGTAAGGAAACTTAGGCTCAGAGAAGGGAAATGATTTGCCCAGGGATTCAAAACTAGGAAGTGGCAGTTGATCTCTCTACAAACTGGGCTCCTCACACACCACCCAGAGTGGGAAGGGTGTAAGCTCTTGGTTACTGAGGCCATGGGTAGGTTGTGAATCACAGGGTAGAACTTTCCATAAAGAACTGGGAAAGGTCCTTGCTGGCTGTCTTCTCTGAAGATCAGGATGGAAGATGGGAACAAAGGAGTTAGGAAATGTCCCTTTGAGGCAAAGGGGGAGGAAAAATGTCTCCCAATGACATTTCTGACAACAAACTATTATTGAAAGGGATCCTCCGAATGAGGAGAGTTTTTCAAAGTATTTTAAATGCCAGATTACATGATTAATCTATATAGAGAACAAGGGCTGGGTCTACGTCTTGTTTCTCCAGAGCTCACTATATTATTACAAAAGAATATGTTATTATGATATTATGATCAGGCTGAGAAACGACATTAGCAAAAAGGTAGAGAGATGGTTGTCTAGGGCCAAACTTAGCCTGATGAAAATTTACCAGCAACCACTGGGGCTGTCAGCAGGCTCAGAGTGCTGATAGCCCTGTGACCAAGATGGAGAGAAACAGGACTGGGCGGAGGGAGTTTGCCTATTGCAACATGCTTTTCAAATAACAATGATCAAAAATACCTGGTACTGGTATTGTACACTGTCACAGAGAGGGGTTTAGAGAAGTATAATCATTTTCATAAAGAACCCTGCAGCAAAATAGGTTACTATCTTTCTCTGCCTCTTTATATAAATTATTTGAATTTGTATTATAAGCAGAGGCCTATAACCTTTTTATGAGTGGAACAACCTTTTTATGAGTGGAACAACATTTCATTAAGCCAAAACTTTGAAATATTAGGGAGAGGGGCAGAAGGAACAGAAGAGAGTTAGGAAGGGGAAGAGTCCCTGGCTGAGTTTCCAAAGAGAGGGATTGTGACACTTGACTAAGCCTTTTACACACATTACCATCATACCAGTTACATTACTGGCTAGTTCACTTTCTTCAGCTCAGACCCACTTATCTACCTTAGATTCAGACTCAACTAATATTTACTGTACTTCCACTAGGTGCCAAGCATATAATTATTATCTCAATTATGCCTTTAGTATCTGAGGTAGGTACTATTATTATTTTCACTGTACAGGTAAGAAAACTGAGGTCCAGAGAGGTTAAATAATTTGTCCAAGGTTATCTAGCTAATAAGCGTTCAAGATAGGACCCAGATAGGGCAAGAAACTTGTCTGAAGACTGGGGTTTCGGTCCTGGATCAGACAGTAACTAGCTGTGGGATCTTGGGCAAGTCATTCTGACTTCTCTGAGGTTTAGTTTTCTCATTTATAAAAACAAATACTGTAATATGTGCCCTGCCTACACCATGGCATAGTTGCGAAGATCAAAAGAGATCATAGTTATAAAAAGTACTTTATAAATTATTATAAGAACATAAATTTGCATGCCAGCAGAGCTAAGCCTTTCTGGAGAGCTCCTTCTCTACTAGCTCTATATCTTTTTCTACCTCCTACCAGTCCCTCTATGGAGTCCCTACTTTCTGTCTCCAAGGAAGATGGAAGATTGAGGAGGCTGTTACGGCTTCCGACTTACACTCTTCCCATATGGGACCTCTTTTCCTTGACTCCCTTTCCAAAGTTTCCACAAAATGGTACTGTGGCTTTGGCAGTTGCTTATAAAGTGAAACAATTTATCCTACAGCCCAACAATTCCACTCTTAGGTGTTTAACCACGAAAAATAAAAACATACATCCATAAAAAAAACTTGTACATAAATGTTCACAGCAGTTTTATTCTTTTTTTTTTCTCAGAACTGGAATCAACACAAATGTCCACCAAGAGACGAAAGGATACACAAATTGTGGTATACTCACAGAATGCAATACTACTCACTATTAGAAAAGAATAAACTACTGATTCACATAACACGGAGGAATCTAAAAAACATGTTGAGAGAAAGAAGTCATACACAAAAGTGTACATACTGTATACTTCCATTTGTATGAAGTCAGGAACTGGCAAAACTGATCTACGGTGACAGAAATCAGAGCAGTGGCTGCCCAGAGGGGTAGAGACTGACTGGAAAAGGCTATAAGGGAAGTTTCAGGAGAGATGAAAATGTTCTGCACCCTAATTATATTTTGGTTAGACAGGTGTATACATCTGTCAAAACCAGTCAAATCAAACACTTAAAATCTGTGCATTTCACTATATGTAAACTTTACCTCAAATACACATATACATAAACACATCCTACCCTGGCTCCCCACCTCCTCTCACCAAGTTTCCCAAAGTGTGAGACTTGTGAAAGAATGAAAAAATGGTACCCAGACTTACTTCTCAGGTAAGATAATAAAAACAGAAGCTGAAATAGTTATAGTAAATAAATAATAACAATAGCAAATAATAATCTGGTGCTTATTACATGCCAGGTACTTTGGAAGCATTTTAAGTATATTAATTCATTTACTCCTCACAACAACCTTGAGGTAGAACCATTATTAGCTCCATTTGGCAAATGAGGAAAATGAGGCACAGAGAGACTTTCAGTAACTTGCCTAAGAAGTTACTAAACTTTGGAGCAGGTTCAAACCCAGAACTTTGGTTCCAAAGTCAACACTCTTCCCCACTACACTACACTGTTTCTCATCAATAATAAGAAGCAATTTGTATCTTGGCCAACTCTCTAAAGCCTGGTTAAAATTAAATAAAGATAGATGTATAGCAATATGACATAAAACAGCTACCATTTTTGAAAAGCTACTATGTGCCAGGCACACATTATCTTTATTTATCTCAATAACCTGATAAAGGTATTTTTCAGAAGAAAAAACTACAGCTCAAAGAGGTGAAATGACTTGCCCAGGGTCACAAAACTAGCAAGTCTCTCTGACTCCAAAACCCACGTGCTTTATTTAGAACATCTTGCTGCCTCTGTAATTCTCTTACATGTCAGGATGTTTTAAATGGCTGCTTCTCTTCCCCTTTTTTGTAGGGGCTACACATAAACCATCTGTGTGTGTGTGTGAGTGAGTGTGTGTGTGTGCGTGTCTGAGGTAAAATTTACATATAGTAAGATGCTTCTGTGGGTAGTGTGGCCCTAACAACTTTTTAAAACAATTTATTTTGAACCATTAAAAATTTTTTTGATACGCACATGCAATAAAATTTAAAAGCTTCAAAATGGTATACAGTGGAAGTCAATCTCCCACTCCCACAGTCCTGTAGTTCCCTTCATCAGAGGTCACCACTGTTGTTTTTTAAGTGTGCATTCAGAGATAGTAATTCAGGTACAAGCCTATACATACATAGGTTTTACATACATCCTCCATTTTCCCTCCCAAACATTATACATACCACTTTGTACTATGCTTTTTAATTTAACAATTTGTCTTGGAGATTGTTCCTATCAGAGGCTTTTTAAAACAGCTACATATAATTACCTTAGTTAGATGTACCAGAATTTATTTAACAGTTCCCTATTGATGGACATTTAGGTTGTTTCCATGGTAGTGACAACTTAAAGGGTTTCCCTCTCATATGCAAATACTTTTTTCTAATTTCCTACTCTTTCCTCTTTCAGTCCCATTTACTGTCAAGTCCTATGTATTCATTTCTGTCTCTCTTGACATATATACTTCTTCTCATTTCCTCAGGCTACACTTAGTTTCTTTAAAAGCATCTCCCCAAACCTACCCTAGTCATATCCCTCCTGCCTCCAGGCATCCCCCTACCTTAACATATTCAGCACACGGCTTTAGGAATCATCTTCCAAAATCACTGCTTTAATTAGGCCACTTTATCACCACTGTTCAAAAACCAAGCAATCACTCATTGTTTATCAAACTCAAATTCCACACTCTGGTCCACAAGAGGGAGAAGGGGGAAACATACTCACATCAATGGAATGTCTATGAATGTGCCTAGAGCTTTACAGACATCATTTCATTTAATCCTCCCCCAATTCTTGCATGGTTAGTAGTATTATCCCCATTTTATGGCACAGGAAACAGAGGCTTAAAGAGATTAGCAATTTGTCTAGGGCTATCCAGCTAATACACAGTTGAGCTAGGATACAAATTGTGTTTGTCTAATTGCAAAGCACATGCTTTTAATCACCAAGTGACACTGTTTCCTAAACGGGGATATCATCATCCAGTTCATGGTGGGGTGAGGATAAAATGAAAGGATCTATGTGGAAGCACACGCAAGAGCTTCACATGGTGGCCTCCTTCCCATCATTCAGATCTCAGCCAAAACGTCACTTCCTCAGAGAGGATTTCCCTGACTTTTCTAGCTAAAAAGCAGCAACCCTTCATGTAATCCCCAAAATGTCTACTTCTTTGCCCCATTTTAGTTTCTTCAAGGCACTTCGCACTGTCTGAAATTTATTTAAACATTTGTTTTAGTGCTTGTCTCTCCTTATTAGAACGTAAGTTTCTGGAGGGTAGGAACTGTGCTTACTTTGTATCCTCTGGGCAAGAAAAGGAGCTAAAATAGAAATGCTCATTAAATATTTGTTGCCTGAATGAATTAACAGCTCAGTTTATAGAGGGAAAAGTTTTTCTTACTTCTGGCTTCTGTCAATTAAAAAAAAAAAAACTCACCATAAATCAGCCCTAACCCATTCAAATTACCAACATTGAAAGTAGGAAGTGTTACAGATTGCATTGTGTCCCCCTAAAATATGTGTTGTAAATCCTAACCTCTATACTGTGGATGGAGCCCTGGTGGCCCAGTGGTTAAGAGCTCTGCTGCTAACCAAAAGGTCAGCAGTTCAAATCCACAAGCTGCTCTTTGGAAACCCTATGGGGGCAGTTCTACTCTGTCCTATAGGGTCTCTATGAATACTGTGGATGTAAGCCCATTTGTGAACACGGTTTTCTTTGTTATGTTAATGAGGTCATACCCGTGTAGGGTATGTTTTAAACCTACCCCCTTTTGAGATGTGAAAAGAGCAGATTAGGCACAGAGAAGCAAGCATGAATGGGAGAGAGACAGATACCACATGGAGATCTCCAAGGAGAAGCTGAGACAAGGAATTTTCCCCCAGAGCGGACAGAGAGCCTTCCCCTAAGCTGGTGCCCTGAATTCAGACTTCTGGCCTCCTAAACTGTGAGAAAATAAATTTCTGTTCATTAAAGCCACCTACTTGTGGTATTTCTGTTTTATTAGCACTAAAAAACTTAAGACAGAATTTAAACAAAATTTTAAATACTGAAGTTGTTGTTGTTAGGTACTGTCAAGTCAGTTCCGACTCATAGCGACCCTGTATACAACAGAACGAAACACTGCCCAGTCCTGCACCATCCTCACAATCATTGTTATGTTTGAGCCCACTGTTGTAGCCACTGTGTCAATTCGTCTTGTTGAGGGTCTTCCTCTTTTTCACTGACCTTCTACCTTACCAAGCATGTTGTCCCTCTTAAGTTCTTAGGTGATTTTAATAAATTTATTATAATTATTTTCACTGTTATTTATGCTTTCAGGCATAGTGCTCAAGCCCTTTCCACACAGTACCGTATCTTACGTAATCCTTATAAGAATACCACAAGGTAGATCCTACCATCAGGGGCAGGGGATCAAGGCTCAGAGATCTTCAATTACTTGCCCAAGTTAGTACATGGAGGAGACAGAACCTGAACTCAGGTTTCTTTGGCCCTAAAGCCCATGATGTTTTTCATCATTACACTGTTGTTGTTAGGTGCTGTCGAGTCGGTTCTGACTCATAGTGACCCTATCTATGTACAAGAGAACAAAACACTGCCCAGTACTGCACCATCCTTTTCACTGACCCTCTACCAAGCATGATGTCCTTCTCCAGGGATGGTCCCTCCTGATAACATGTCCAATGTACGTGAGATGAAGTCTCGCCATCCTTGCTTCTAAGGAGCATTCTGGTTGTACTTCTTCCAAGACAGACTTGTTCATTTTTCTGGCAGTCCATGGTGTATTCAATATTCTTTGAGAACATCATAATTCAAAGGCATCAGTTCTTCCTGAGTCTTCCTTCTTCATTGTCCAGCTTTCACATGCATATGAGGCGACTGAAAACACCATGGCTTGGGTCAGGCGCACCTCAAACTGACATCTCTGCTTTTTCACACTTTAAAGAGGTTTTTTGCAGCAGATTTGCCCAATGCAATGCATCGTTTGATTTCCTGACTGCTGCTTCCATGGGCATTGATAGTGGATCCAAGTAAAATGAAATCCTTGACAACTTCAATATTTCCTCCATTTATCATAATATTGCTTATTGGTCCAGTTGTGAAAATTTTTGTTCTCTTTATGTTGAAATGTAATCTATACTTAAGGCTGCAGTTTTTGATCTTCATCAGTAAGTGCTTCGAGTCCTCTTCACTTTCAGCAAGCAAGGTTATTTCCTCTGCATATCGCAGGTTATTTATGAGTCTCCCTCCAATCCTGATGCTGTGTTCTTCTTTCTATAGTTTGTATAGTTTCTCGGATTATTTGCTTCGCACACAGATTGAATAAGTATGGTGAAAGGATACAACTCTGATGATGCACACCTTCCTGATTTTAAACCATGCAGCATCCCCTTGTTCTCTTTGAACAACTGCCTCTTGGTCCAAGTACAGGTTCCTCATGAGCACAATTAAGTGTTCTGGAATTCCCATTCTTTGCAATGTTATCCATAATTTGTTGTGATCCACACAGTCGAATACCTTTGCATAGTCAATAAAACACAGGTAGGCATCTTTCTGGTATTCTCTGCTTTCAGCCAGGATCCATCTGGCATCAGCAATGATATCCCTCATTCCACATCCACTCCTGAACCTGGCATGAATTTCTGGCAGTTCTCTGTCGATGTACTGCTGCAACCACTTTTGAATGATCTTCAGCAAAATTTTACTTGTGTGTGATATTTATGATACCGTTCCATAATTTCCGCATTCTGTTGGATCACCTTTCTTTGGAATGGGTACAAATATGGATCTCTTCCAGTCAGTTGGCCAGGTAGCTCTCTTCTAATTTTCTTGGCATAGACAAGTGAGCACTTCCAGAGCTGCATCCATTTGCTGAAACATCTCAATTGGTATTCTGTCAATTCCTGCAGCCTTGTTTTTCGCCAATGCCTTCAGTGCAGCTTGGACCTCTTCCTTCAGTACCATCAGTTATTAATCATATTGTACCTCCTGGAATGGTTGAACATCGACCAATTCTTTTTTATACAGTGACTCTGTGTATTCCTTCCATCTTCTTTTGATGCTTCCTGTGTCATTTAATGTTTTCCCCGTAGAATCCTTCAATATTGCAACTGGAGGCTTACCACTACACTAGACTAATAAAACTGAGTGGATATAAGCAATCAAATCCAAGTGGATTTTGCTTTTAATCAAGTATCTTTTCCTTAGATCAGTAATCTCTTCTAAAAAGAAGTACACCAGTAAAGCATGGCATTATTTACAGCAAATGACTAGAAACTCTGTGAGGAAAAAAAAAGGTTATCTACTGTGTATATTCCAGTGTGGTTCTGAAGCATCAAACCATGTCCTACCTGGGCAGCCTCATAAGTGATGGTCTTTGTCTCAGTGTGGACAATAGGGACGTCTTTGGTTGGGATTTCACTTTTCACAGCATTGGCAGAATCTGAGATGGTGACAGTCTGAGTCTTTACCAGGGGAGGCTGTGAAACAGTAAAGAAACAGAGTTACTGGAGTCTTTCAGAAGTCTGGGGAAAACTAATCTTCTGACATTGATCTGATCAAAGTGTTAGGTCTAATTAAGCAAAGGACTAGCTCAATCTCCAAAGGTGTTTACTTTGCACAAGTCTTGGACACTGTTCCAAAGTAGCCCTGACAAGGTGTCAAATCATGAGATTAAAGAACAGCATTCCTGTAATCACTTTCATATGCTTAATGGAAAGTTATAAGATCAGACACTTAAGATTGGTGATGCAAAACACTTCAGACTGACCTTCAGAATTTGAATATAAAACTATTTGCCAAATAACATTCACTTTTGTTTGTCCTTGTGGCTGTACTGTTATATTTAAGAAAATCAGCCACATTTCCTCCACTAATACAAATGGTACATGAAACCGCAGCAGCACTGGAATGCATTACCCTGGAATTCATTAACTTCTTTCAAATCAATGTCAGATACTCACTCTGAAGTTGTTAAGAATAAACAGTGTTTGGAAAACTGGAAAGAAAAAAAAAAAATCAGATCTACCACCACCTGGTGATTAATCTCAGAATTTCAGGAGAATAAAATACTGTAATATCAAAGGCCTTCTTGCCTATCAGCTCACCTTCCCCAAGACTATAAATCACTCTAAAACTACCATTTGATTGTGATAAGATGAAGTGGCCATCACCTTAGCATAGGAGATTAGTGCCTATGATCATAGAAGCTCCTGTGAATGGGGTCAGTGGGAGTGGTGGCGTTGCACTATGTGGCTGCAATACCTAAATTATTATTTGAGGCTAGAGTCTCATAAAAAGATCAGTTGCCTCTTTTAATTAAGAGTATCTGAATTTTTGAGCATGGTCTCAGAACACTGAAGGTTCCTCACCATAGAAGTCTCAGAAATTTACCTCTTCAAATAGCCCATACTGGAGTAGAAAAGAACATACTGATACCAGCCTCATAAAGATAAATAACTGGAGTTAATCCCAAGAGTTTTGTAAGTCAGCAGGCAAGAAAGCATTTCTAGCATGGAGTCAATTCCTCTGAATAAATTTCTTTGTAGAAATTAATGGCTTCAGTTTTATTCTATGATTTTGAAAAAAAGCAGAGAGTCTACCCTCACCACCACTACCACTTCCTCCACAGAACAGATTCTGGCCCTCTCCCAAAGAGAGTCATTAGACCTGTGTCATTAAATCAGTTACTACCTGGAAACTTCGAATGAGGGTGGGGAACTGGTTACCCACACGAGAGTCAAGAAATGATCCATTTTGCTTTCCAGGTGGCTCTCCTGGTGTAACATGTTCTTCACTACTCTCTGCCTTTTTTTCGCCAAGTTGCAGTTGATAGGAAGCTGATGTTACTGAGAACTTGCCCATGGGGCCCTTTAAGGCACTGGCCTGTTCCTCCACTCCTATACATTCCCCATTTGGGTCTCTTGGCATCTCCTTAATGTCAACATGGCCAGATGTTCCCTGCACCTTCTCTTCTGTCTCCTTGCTGCTTATGGAGAGGGAGCCAAAGTCAAAGTTTTGTGAAGACTCCGGTGGGGTAGTCATTTGGTTCTCGCTAGGAACTACTGAATGCTTGGGGCCCTCCTGTTCAGAGTCAGGGTTAGTATTTGGCCCCTTTGTCACAGCAGCCACCTCCTCTGTGCAAATGTCATTTATACTCTACAAATGAATGGACACATACAAAAGCAAGAAGAAAAGATTAGCAGTAAGTGGGGAATATAGTGAACTCTCAGAAACAATGATTTTTAAGAAGCCTCAAGAATACTAAATCAACATAAACCAAGAATCTTAGTTCTTAAATTTGTCAGAAGGAAGAACTGCTGCTCATTATATATGTCAGCAGCTTAAACAATGCCGATTTCATTTTGGCCATATTTCTATAGCACTGTTAATCTAAGAAATCATGTCAGTGTGCCTCATACAGCACACAGCACTTCATATTCCTATAGTCTTCCCTGTAGAATATATTCTCTTTATGTTTAAGTCACTTTGCCATTCCTAAATACATAACTCATTACTATGCACATGACGTAATACAATTCATGAGTAAATCAAAACACATTCTTAAGGAGAACAATCAGGTTGAAAAATGTTTCACACCTCCAAGTTATAGTATCAAGTTTTAGCTTCTCTAATGGAGAAGCTAAAATCTAGACTTGGTTAGCAGGGATACAGACTTTGAGTATATCCAGCACAGGCTTACTCTAATCATTGTAATGGCCTGAAACATGATATAAAAATATGGAAATGTTTCTTTGCAAACAGAATACAAATGACCCAGCAACAGAGATGCACTTCTTCACAGATGAATGACATAATACTTCCATCCTCTAAGGGAAATACATCTTGGAAACACAGAGCTCCCTCCTGGACTAAATACCTCACACCACAGGAATAATAACTGTAAAATAAGTACTTCAAAGAGATCTTGGATGAGAAGATAGCATCATAGCAGATGGACTCATTCCTAAAGTTTAAAGAAAGGTGCCCTAGATGGAAGAAGGGAAGAATTTCACACCAGTAGGAAAAGATATGAAAAATGAACATTCTAACAGAAACCAAATGTCACGGCAAGTAGCATCTGCGTGTACTCAACAGAAAACTATAAAACAAGTCTGAAATTTTGGTAAGATTGTTTTAGCATATTATATGCCACACAGGAACTTAATAACAGAAAGGAACTTTTAAGAAGGTGTGCCTGGAGTAAACGAAATATGCTTGGACAAGCATACACATTTCAGTACTCAAATCACATATAAGTATTCTACTAAAAAATCACTGCTGCTCATTAACTTGTAAGCCAGCCTACACTGTGATAAATACACACTAGCACACTATTAAGGCAAGAAAAGATGCACTGCCCTCAAGAACTTCAGTCCAACTTTATTCCTAAACCATCTTGATTGTAAATTTTAAAGCACCATACGACCAACATTAACTGGTCACCTACTATGTGCTAGGCCCTAGGGACACTAGAATGAATTTGTTGTTATATTATTAATATACTGCACTACTTTTTAGGGTGCTTATTTCACTATTTCTTTTGAGTCACACAGGCTGCTATAGAGCTGTCAAAAAACAATCAGCTGGTAATAAACAAATAGGCTTTCTCAAACGGCTATGTGCTCACCCTAGCATTGTGAAACCCATTCACATGGTGAGGAACTTCATGGCTTCTCCAAACAATGTTTTCACAACTGAGAAGGCTGATTAATCAGGAAAATATTTAAGATAATAAAGTAAGAGCCCATTTTGTACCAGTCTGCTCAAGAAATAAATGGCAGTCTTTCATCAAGAAGCCATTTGTGAATTAAATATTGATTAGGCCAGCAGCACCTGGCAAATAGCCAGAAGCTCCTACTGCTAAGTAAAATTATAGCAATCATTTTTTTCAAAGCCATGTATAGAGGAAACCAAGAATAAAAGCTGTAGCCACAGTAACATCAATTCAACAAATATTTACTGAGCACCAAGTATGTGTTGGATCCCTGGTGGTTCAGTGGTTAAGAGTTTGGCTGCAAACCAAAAGGTTGGCAGTTACAATCCACCAGCCGCTCCTTGGAAACCCTGTGGGGCAGTTCTACTCTGTCCTATAGGGTTAGCTATGAGTTGGAATTGACTCAATGTCAACGGGCTTGGGTTTTTTTTGGTAATATGTGTTACCCCTTGAAAATAAAAGAAAAACTGGTAACAGTTGGTTTACCATTTATAGCACTCTCACATATGGTCGAATCAACCTCTTCAGCTGCCTTTATCGTCCAAGAGATCTTACTGGACTTCCTGCCAGGCATGTAGAATGCAACATGTGCCAAACTACAATGATTTCTGCTGCTGCCTAAGCCCCCATCCCAACTTCCTCTATCAAACCAAACCAAACGCATTGCCGTTCAGTCGATTCCGACTCATAGAAACCCTATAGGACAGAGTAAAACCGCCCCATAGGGTTTCCAAGGAGTGGCTGGTAGATTCGAACTTCTGACCTTTTGGTTAGCAATCTGAGTTCTTAACCAATATGCCACCAGGGCTCCTTCCTGCATCATCTCTATTATATTGCTAAATGGCACCATCATTCATGCAGTCTTTCATGCCAGAATCCTAAGCATCATCTTCAATGCCTTCCTTATACTCATCCCCAGACTCCCACAGATTACACCAAGTCATTTCTATTCTACTTTAATATCTCCTTACCTATTGGCTTTTCTCCATTCCCACGTTTATTACCTTCTTTCAAACTCTGATAATGCCTCATCCAGATTACTACTAATACCCTAAACAGTTTTTCTTCCTTCCTTTCTTCCTTCCTTCTTTCTCATCTCAAAATCTTCCTTCAATGCATCCTCTATTCTACTGCCAAAGTATTTATTGCTAAAATACAACATTGGAAATTCAATTTTCTAGCTTAAAACCCTTCAGTGGCTCCTCACTGTCTCTTGGTTAAAGTACAGAACCTTTAGTAAGACACAGAAAACACTTCAAACTCTGACCCCCTACTTCTTTTTCCAGCTTCATCCTGCTACACCTCCATACACATCCTTTCCTTTGTTAATTCAAAACTGTTTGCAGTTCCTAGAACACAGCATGCTTTCTTTTGCCTCTGTGTCTTTGTAAATACTGTTCCTTCTGCCTGGAAGCTCCTATGTTTTCCAGAATCAGTTCAAGTGTGAGTTCTTATGGAAGTTTCCCCCGGCTGCCAAAGGTACGGTTAGGCACCACTCCTCTTTTGTTCCCATTGCACCCTTTCATTATTGGTTTATTCATCTGTCTTTCCATTAGACTATGAGCTCCTTGGGGATAAGAACTTACTATGTGTTACTTAGCTCTGTATCTCTCTTATACTCAGTTTTTGGCACACAATAGACGTTCAGTAAAAACTTGTTGATGTTTTTAAAATTCAGGTGACTTGAAAACTTCTGTTTTGTCTTGTGCTACTCAATAACTGAAAAGGTACATTTAGAATGAACATAAACAGTGGCCCACTGGA